AAAGTTTGTAACCATCATTAATTATTTTTTTTTAATTGTCATAAATTCTTATTAAATGACAACAGTTATAAATTATGTTACACTGAAAAAAATTGGTTAGAATGTGCTTTTTACTCAGGCAATTTTTGCCTAAGAACAAAAGCAATACACGCAAAGCAATTGTTTCTTTAAGAAAAAGCAATTTTTATCTTAAATTAAGGCTAAAATTATCTTAGTTATGGTGAAAATTGCTTTTTTTTAAAGAAACAATTGCTTTTTTTCAGTGTAACATAATTTATAACTGTAGTCATTTAATAAGAATTTATGACAATTAAAACAAGTTGTAAATCCAGTTGTTCAATTTTCTGAGAAATGACTAAATGAAATTTTTCTTATTCAATACACTGGGTAACAAAAAAATGACCATGTCGTGTTTATTTTAAAATTTTTGTGTTTATTGAAAGTTTGGGTGTCAGTGAACAAGAAAATACCAAAAAAAATTTTTTTAATTTATTCAGACCCCTAAAAAGGGGGGTTCAATTATTAAAAAACGGTGTTTTTTGCATTTTTTAAAGACCTGTAAAAAGAAAATGGGGAGACATAAAAAGCTCTAATATGGCTTAAAAGAAAGCTCAAACCTTTATCTTTAAGATGCAAAACTGAAAAGTAATGTAAAAAATTCAGGGAACCTGTATTTACCGAGTACCCCCCTAATGTATCATACATTCTGGTAAAAATGACTGGGAATCTAAGCATATCAATTTTTCACAATCGGATTGGCTTCAAATTTGTTACTCAGGGGTTTTTGGGGTCGCTGATTACGAATCCGAAGTCAGACTTCAAAAATCCAAAATGGAGACTTTAACATGGCGGATTCAACCAAGTGTCGAGCGAATCCGAACGACTTTTAACATTTTATTCGCTATGTTGAAGCCACCATTTCGAATTTTTGAAATCTGACTTCGGATTCGTAATCAGTGATCCCAAAAACCCCTGAGTAACAAATTTGAAGCCAATCCGATTCTGAAAAATTGATATGCTTAGATTCCCAGTCATTTTTACCAGAATGTATGATACATTAGGGGGGGTAGTCGGTAAAAACAGGTTCCCTGCAATTTTTACATAACTTTTCAGTTTCGGTTCTTAAAGACAGGACTTCAAAAAATGCAAAAACACCGTTTTTTAATAATTGAACCCCCCTTTTTAGGGGTCTGAATAAATTAAAAAAATTTTTTTTGGTATTTTCTTGTTCACTGACACCCAAACTTTCAATAAACACAAAAATTTTGAAATAAACACGACATGGTCATTTTTTTGTTACCCAGTGATATATAAGTTAGTATTACCGAACGTTCCCCGACGAATTTCCTAATCTTAGATTCCTAAACGTATTTTCCTAACAACTACTTTTCCTAATAGTTAATTTTTCCTAAAACTATTTTCCTAAATCATTTTTCCGAACTCAATTTTCCTAAAGTCTTTTTTTACTAAAGTCTTTTTTTCCGAACAATATCATTTTTCCTAATATATATATTTTTTATGACGATGCGATATGGGATTTGCAATTGTTTTTTTTATTGTTTTTTCAATAACATCAAATACAAATGTCAAAATTTCAAAAATTTTTATTGTAAATTAATATTTCGAGTCTAAATTAAAAGTGTAATTTATAAATAAAATAAAAAAATTTATATTTTAAATAAAAACAATGGAGATTGGTCCTTGAATTGTGGGCAAACAATTGTTTGTGGATGGTTTTATATATTACAAAATCTAAAAAAATCTGTAAGGTTGCAAATGTTTTTGACCTTCTCGTCGAAGAAATGGAAGAAGAATTGCTTCCTATCGCGGATTACTTCGAGGAAAATTATGTCTCTAAATTTTAATAATTAATTTTAAATTATTTCCACATACAATTGTTCTCTAAATTTTAGTAATTAATTTTAAATTATTTCCACTTCATTTTTAAAATAAAATTTTTAGGAAATTAGGAAAATTTAATAACTTTAGGAATTTTTGCTTAGGAAAATTGATTTAGGAATTTCAAATTTAGGAAATTCGTTTTTAGGAAACGTTAAAATTAGGAATCTAGGATTAAGAAAATCGGTAGGACTATGTCCAAAAATTTCCGGTACGTAGGTTTATTATTTACAAAAAAAAACTAAAAAAACTGTTTTTCACGTACAAAACAAAAAATTTGGTGGAATTATAATGACGTTTTTTTATTGACATAGGAAGTTTTAAAAATTAGTAAACATTGTGATTTATTTCGCTTAGGGTGTCAACTTCAATATTCCGATGTGAAAAAGAATTTTAAATCTTACATAAATTTATTATAAACAATTTTTTTGTGAATGTCATGTGTATGTCGTAGGCAAATAGAAAAATCCGGCATTTAGCTTAATGCCTAGGCATTGGGCTAAATGCCGGCAAGTACATAAATAAATCGTGAAAAATGGTTATTTTTCTATTTGCCTGAAATCAATTAGTCATTTAGCTTATTGACTAGGCGTTAAGGAAATTGCCTAAGTAGCACCCGGCAAATAGAAAAATGAGAATATATGTGCATGTGTCACTCAACAGAAATATTAAAAAAAAATATGTCAAAATTAATTAACACAAATATTTTATTATCAATTATAATAATAATAATAATAAAATATTTAGTAAAATGATTGAAATAAAATGAAAAATATAATTCACAAAATAAAATTACTTAGACGTTTTGATTTCCAATATAATGCAATATTAATTGTGGGATAGATTCGAGTGCTTGTTTGTAAATCAGTATTTTTGTTTTTAATTGAAAATTTGAAATATACACTTAATTAATACTTAATAATAGTGTTAATTACTTTTGACATATTTTTTTTAATATTTCTGTTGAGTGACACATGCACATATATTCTCATTTTTCTATTTGCCGGGTGCTACTTAGGCAATTTCCTTAACGCCTAGTCAATAAGCTAAATGACTAATTGATTTCAGGCAAATAGAAAAATAACCATTTTTCACGATTCATTTATGTACTTGCCGGCATTTAGCCCAATGTCTAGGCATTAAGCTAAATGCCGGATTTTTCTATTTGCCTACGACATGTATACAGTGAGGGCGGCATCATTAAACCACCCGAAAAAGCAAAGAATTTTCAATTTTATTGGTAGAGTTGTCTGCTCTACTAACTAGTGAGAAAAATACTGGAAGACATGCTTTTATCACAATTGTCAAAGTGATAAACTTTAAACTGTCACTTTTGCTACGTAACCTGACATCAAAATATATTAATCTCCTGTATTAACAAATAATAACTATTTTACAACAATTTTCTATTTCTTTGAGTAGAAAATAAGGTGGTGGTTCAATGTAGATATTGTAGACACACATCCTTCAAAAATAAATAAGAAAAGTGTAACTGGTTAGAAAAAAATTAAATTGAATTATTTAATCATAATATTTTTTGTTTGCAACGTGTGTATTAACTAAAGGAGTACTTCAGTTTTAGATTGTTACAAAAACCTGATCAAAATTTGTAAAATTTAATTAGTTCTTGGACTTTATAAAAAACCTGGTTCAATGTATCTTACTCTCCCCTACATTTAATATGAATGTTATCTTAATAAACAAACAAATTTTTCGTAAAAAAGTGAATTTTTCAACATTAATTGTAATTAATTCTATAATTTTCCATATAATATATATACTTTATATACATCAATCGATTCGTCTTGATACAAAGAATAAGATTTTTGATTTATTTTTCAATAAATATAATAACATTTTATTGTACAGCAACATGCAAATTTTTGGTCTATAATTGGTTTTAATTCTATAAATTTAAATACAATATATACTTTATATATACCAATTGATCCGTCTTGGTGCAAAGAATAAGATTTTGGAAATAAATGAGTAAGATTTTCTTATACGGCAACATAATTTTGCGGAAAGAACTCATTTTTTGATAAAAATGCGAATTTTTCAGCTTTAATTGTGATTAGCTCTATAAATTCTCATACAATTTATACTTTGTATAGATCTATCGATTCGTCTTGATGCAAAGAATAAGATTTTATTATATATTAACTTCAATAACCAACTTAAAAACATTTTTAAAAAAAAAAAAATTTTTTTGAAAATTTTTCAAAGTTTATCAATCTATTTTGAGATATTTTTATGATAAATATACCTGGCAAATTTTAGCTAAATTCGTTAAAACCTCTTCGAGTTATCGTGTTCACAAAAAATGGGATCCATACACACACATACACATACATACATCCGGACAATTGTTCAATGTCTTATATATGGGCGAATCTCTGGAACTTTTAACCTTTATGTCCCTCACATTATTTTCACTTAAACAGCCTAAATATAAAAACTAACGATTTTTAAATATTTACATGTTTTTAAAAAGAAAATAAGGATTAAGATTTAACTATTGATATAAATTATTTTGTTTATTTTTTCTATGTTTTTCTTTATTAAAGTTCACAATACCATGAGTTTGCAAATGTCACTTTCACTTTTTCTAAAAGTATTTTAACTGTTTAAATAAGATTTTTTTGAAAAACACGTTTTTACTGTTATAAACTATTTAAAAATATCTTAAGAATTCCATAAACAAACTTAAAAAAAAATAAAAAGTAAAAATTATGAAAGATATAATCTTCTAAAAAGTGTCCCTCAGTTTTTGTGTCGCTGGTCAAATCAAAATGGTTTTATAAAATAAACATTTAAAAACTAAATGAAAAAATTTGAAATAAGAGGCACAATTGAATAGTAATTCAAATTTTATGTGCGTGATTTTTATTTTTATTTTGAACTATATTTTAAGCAAAATAATTGTTGGATACTTGTGATACTGGTGTAGTACGAAAAATATGTCGCTGGTCAAATCATTAATTTCTCCAAAGTTTCTTATTTAATTTGCTCCAAAATTGGGGCACATATTACTTTAGATGTATTTAAAACTGTGCATATGTTTTTATTTATTCTAATTTTTATTTAATTATTTTTTTTACGTGGATATTCAAATTGTCGCTCGTCAAATATTTCGCTTGGTCAAATCAATAGTTTTCCAATCAATCTGAAGTTTCGCATTTATTTGTTCCATGTTATTTATCGCGAAGTAACCAAAAATGTAATAAAAAGCGACAAAATAAAAGAAAATCAAAGAAAAGAAAATAAAAAGCGAGAAAAAGGAAACGCGGAATGAAAAATTTATCAACGGAAGGCACTTAAGTAATATTTATTTATTTTTTATTAAACGTTCATGAAACTGTTAGTGTTTTTTCAAGGTTATATTAAGATCCTCGATATTTCTTCAAAACAATTCAGCCAATCAAATAATTAGAAAATTTCATGTTACTAATTCAAATAATTATACGTAAAAAATTGTCATTAAATTTTTTTATTAGTTTTTTTATTAGTTGTATTAGACGTTTATTATATTTATTTTCATGTTTAATTATGTTTTTGTGATACTGAGAAATAACTTACTTAAGTGTAGGAGATAAAATGTTTACGTATATCTTGTTACAGATTTAGATAACCTAACATTATTTTCTTTCCAAAAATTTATATTTTAAAATAGAAGGCAACAAAATAATGGTTGTACAGTAATTAAAATGAAATTTATTTTGGTCAAAGATGTAAGACCAAAAATATCAAAATTGTGCACACAAAAAATTTTTTTAAAAAATTAAAATTCGAATGTTAAAGTTTCCACAGATTTGCCCATATATAACATAGTCCTATATAGAAGAAAATTTGTTTAAAGGATTTTTAAAAATTTTGTAAATTAAACGACTACAAAGCTTCTTCACGAGGAAGCAAAAAATAATTAATGATGGTTTCTTTCAATATATATTTAAAACATTTTATTTTATTTTAATTTTCTTTATTCAGGTCATAAGAAATTTTATTTGAAAATTCTTTAAATGTTTTTTTTCCTAATTATTTCGTCACTCTCAATATTTTATTTTAGCCGTCTACTTATGCAAGCGAACAATGCAGAATAAAACACGATTAGAGCTCGCTGACTATGAGGCTGAAAATCTCGCGAGGCTACAAAAAATGTTCTCCAGAAAATGGGAGTTTATTGCCATGCAAGCGGAGGCCCAGAACAAAGCCGATAAGAAAAGAGACAAATTGGAGAGGAAGGTTTTAGATAGTCAGGAGAGAGCTTTTTGGGACGTTCATCGACCAATGGTAATTGAATTTTTTTATTTAAAATTAAAGCTATTTACTTCCACCAGTTTCTCGATATATACCTATATATGTAACAAAAAAAATTTAGCTGTATAAATTGAAAAGATTTTATTTTTTAATTTTATTTCCATTCGTTTTTATCTCTAAATTCGGATTTTACAATTTTTTTTGTGAATTTATTTTTCTCTACTTGTTTTTTCTTCACTGTTGGTTTTACTTGACGTTTTCATTTGGAGCTTTTTGAAATTTTCTTTCTCCTTTTCTGCTTGTTTATTCTCTCTTTGGGTTTATTTTTCTTTTCTCTCTCGTTTCTTTTTTTTAAGTTTTTAATTAAACTTTAAAATCGTTTTTCGATTCCTATTCGCTAAATTTAAATTTTGTTACTGTCATTTATTTATTTTGCAAGATATTTTTTTTAAAAAAGTGGTAATTTTGACTTTGTTTTTTTTTGAGTTCGTTTTTTCGGGAGTGTGATGATAAATCAGAAATTTGTTGTGTGACGAAAGAAAAAACTAATTACAGCCGGGATGCGTGAATACGACGGAATTGGACATAAAGAAGGCATGTCGTAGCCACAAGCCTATTGTTAAAGCGAGCAAACATTTGCAACTGGGAGTTGCAGGTGGAAGAATTTCTCCACCCCGGACGAATTCCATGCTAAAGCAGTCAGCAGAATCTTTACAAAGGGACGTGGATATTTTGAAGCAGAGACTCGATCGACGAATCATTAAAATTTCTAAAGTCGCTGAAGCGTGAGTAGTTTATTTATTTTAAAAAATTTGCGAATTTTTTTTATAGTCTATTTTTTATTTTCAAATTGCATACGAAAAGTGATGCACGGATAATTATATTATAATTATAGCAAGTAGAATGAATTGGTTTCGCCCATCTCCGTTTGACCTTTGAGCTTTCTTAATTTTTATTCAGGGACACGACACAACAAATTGTACATTAACACGCTCTATTAAGTCGGTTTCACTCGATATTGAAAGACACATTTAAAACATTATCGTTCTGGAATGTGTTTTAAAAATTATCGGAAAATACGTTTACAATATTCTATTAGTAAAAATTGAGTATAATGCAAAAGACGTTTAGAAATAAAATTACAATTTTTATATCTGATTAAAATTCTGAACGGATAGAAGAAGTCTTTAAAGAAAGTGACTTATAAATTCTAATTAAGTTTAAAATTTTTTAAAATGAAAATCTGTTCGGTAATTCTATTACCGATTGAAAACGTTACTTAACTAAGAAATGTATTTATTTTTGTGGCCTAATGGCTTTTAATTTTTATTTACAACATCATTACATGACGCGTTTCCGAGAATCTATAAGAATATTTGGAGTCACAGTTATTAGGTTCAGGAAATGTAAAAAAAATAAAAAATTTATTAAAAAACCCGTGAATTATACTTTAAGATTCGGGAACATTTTGATAAAAGTATCTTGTCCTAAAAACCGTTAAAAGAATAAACATTCTGAACTTAAAATAGACCTCTTCGAACTGTAAGTTGTGGTGTAAGAACTCCGAAAGGAAGCTACTTAGTTTTCAGGGTATAGAAGATCCTGCTCTGAGTCGGCGGTCTATAGTGTTCGTTTTGAATCAAAGTAAGAGCAACTTTGCAGAGACGATTGATTCTAGAACGATACTTGGCCGTGTGGACATTGGTAGACGAATAATCCCAACGTTGTCCTCTAACTTTGAGATACCGTTCGTAAGTCGATAGGCCAGGTACGATGGACCCCAATCAACCTCTCTTTTTTAGGTACTTCCAATAGATTAACGTAATTTCCTCTATTGAACGATTCTAATCCTGTAAATTTCGAAAGAGAACTCTGTTTGACTAATTTTTCCATAAACGAAGACCGATAAGACCAGGTACAACGAATCCTTCGACCTCTCTTTAGTAGATATTTTCAAACGAATAACGCAATTTCCACTATCAGGAGAGAAATATGTGTTCCGCATCGTCTATTTCAACCCCGTGATACTATTCTTTTGCTATAATTTGCCCATTTTGCATATTCTTTGATCTTGAATCTATGGAGGTACTGACCATAGTAAACATGAGCTGACATCCCATGTGTAAGGTAATAGTTAACTTTTCCGGGCTTTCTTCCTAACCAGGTTGCGATGTGACACAGTGGGAATATTTGAGATTTTTTATGGCAAAATCGTACACGGAAAGAAATCTGCTAGCATTATATCATTGGGCGGCCAATAGACTTATTCCATCGGACCCCCACCACTACTTTTCAGGCCGAGTAGATGCTATTACAGGGTGGCCGCTGGACCGGGAAACCGGGAAAACCGGGAAATGACAGTGAATTTTTTTGGACAGGGAAAAACCGGGAAATGACAGTGAATTTTGATCTTGACCGGGATTTTGGAATTTTTTCTTTAAAAACACACATTACTTTGTGAGAAAAAATAGAAATATTTATTTTAAGACTTAGGTATTAACTATATTTCATTAAAAAAGATTGAATGATCTTCTATAAAATCGATTTATATTTTGTCAGAGAATTTTATAAAAAGTACTATAAAAATATTCAATTTCTAGAATTTATAAGAAAATTATGAATTTTGTTGTCCAACGTAACAGACTTAGAAAAAGAAAATATTAAATTTAATTTTAAATTCTTTCTATTTCTAACAATAATTAAACAAAATATAATTTTAATTAAATTTGTCAAAAAAATTTCAAAGAGAAAAAATTTCACATCCTATAAAATAGTGAAAAATAAATGAATTAAAAAATTTTTTTTTCAAATATTATAACAAAACAAGTTTGAATTATTAAAAATTTGAACTAATTAGAACAAAAGTGATACGAAATTTATAAAAATTAATTTTTAAATAGGTAATAAATAAAGTAAATAAAAATAAATAAAATTTCTTTTCTTAGAAAATAAATTTTAAAAAACCGTATTTTTCATTAATATCAATTAGTTTTTTTACAATTATTCATAAGCAAATTTTTCTATATTTTAGAATGTTAAATCAATATTACTAATATTATTATAGATTGAATTTTAAAAAATTTCAAATTGAAGTTTTAGAAAAGTTGAATTTTAAAAGATTTTAATTAAAAATTCTGAATAAGTTAGTTTTTAAAAATATTTTTATTCACATTTTTTCAAATTAGTTATGTTTTTAAATATGTAATATTTAATTAAAAAATTTTCAAATTATTCAAAATTTCATGAAATTGTTTTGTAAACAAGTGGATTTTAGAAATATTTTAGTTATTTCTAGAATATAATTGAATTGAAATTTTGAAAATAATATTTAATAAGTTACAATAGCAATTCTTAAAAATTATTCAAATTTAAAGGATTTGAAATTTGAATTTTTTTTTGAAATTTGAATACCTACTATATGGAAAAATAATGGATAATAATTAAATATTTATTTCAAAAAATCTATTTAAGTTCAAAATTATTTTTAGAGTAAACTAAAATATTTTTAGGGTTTGAGAAAAAGTCAAAGTTTTGTCTAAAAATCAGGAAATTCTTTCAATCTTTCATGGAATAATTTATTTTCAGAGTTATTATTTATGACCGGGAAAAATAATTTATGACCGGGAATGGACCGGGAAATGACCGTGAATTTTTTTTTTACAAAAATAGTGGCCACCCTGTATTAGTCCATCGCTGCATAGTATTATTCTACGCTCTCTCTAAATCTGAATAAGTGAAATTTCACTTATTTTAAGTGAATATTCACTTATTCCATGTTTCAAAACTCTTCCACGTAGAATAAGTGAATATTCACACATAAAATAAGTGAATTATATTCACTTATGAATAAGTGAATTATATTCACTTATTGAATAAGTGAATATTCAATTATGAGATAAATGAAATCTCAGACATTAAGAAGTGAATGTAAATAAATAATCAGGATCAATATTACATAAAAAAATATTTTTTGCTATCAACTATTTAACACTCTCTTTTCTTCTCATTATCAGTCTAAAACTTATAAACATATAAATTTTTCACATTTTTTAAAGCTAAATCCCCAAATGGTCACCCATCTTAATATTAACCGCAAGCAATGTCGCTTAACTTTGATGATCAACGAGAAACACTACAATGCCACTTGATATGTTGCCTTATACCTACTCATAGAAAATTATTGGGTGCTACTTATATAGAGTTAGTTTATTGTGTTCTACTTTAACTTTTTGTTCAAGATTTCTCTTATTATATATGTAATAATGTAATAATTGTTTAAAAGTATAAACAATTGAGGCCTTGGATCCAATAACTCGCCCGACGCTCGAAGGCACGCGGTAATACCAGTCGGGTAGCAGTGAGTGGCCCAGAGGCGCTCACTGCTCACTGACTGGCAGTTGCGCGTTCCTCCAAGCGTCGGGCGAGTTATTGGATCCAAGGCCTCAATTGTAATATAATGCGCAGGTGGATTTCTTTTTAACTATAAATATTTCACTTATATATAAGTGCGGGTTTCACTTATTGATAAGTGAAAACAAGTTCACACATAAAAAAGTGAATATTTCACTTATGTATAAGTAGATTCTACTTATCAATAAGTGAGAAAAAGGTTCACACATGAAAAAAGTGAAAATTTCACTTATTCAGATTTAGAGAGCTGAGATGGACTAATTCCATCTACTCGGCCTGAAAAGTAGTGGTGGCGTCAGATGGCATAAGTCTATTGGCCGCCCAATGGTATAATACTAGCAGATTTCTTTCCATGTAGAACTTTTGATAGAATTGTCTTATTATTTTAACAAATCAAAAACGAAAAGAAAGTTTATTATCTACAGAATAAAAGAAAACTATATCGAAATCCATTAGGACTTTCCTAACCTGTTATTAACGTACGCAAAGTTGAGTATTTAAGGTTGAAATAATTATTTTCACATATCCTGCTGGGATAAACGATAAATATAAGCGTCTCGAGGAATAAAATCCAAGATTTTATAATGACAAGTACAAATTGAGTGCCAACATTAGAAAAACTAAAATAAAATAATCAAAATGGAGTCCAAAAACGTCATTTTTTAAATAATCGATCAGATTGGGTTGAAACTACTTACTTGGGGTTTTTTGGAGTCGCTAAATATGAATATGATATTTAATTTTCAAAATGGCGGACTTAATATGACGGCTAATATTTTAATAAATTGCTGGAATTCTGTTGAAACTCGTTACCATGCGATTTTTGGGATCACTGATAACGAATCTGTTATCATGTGCTAAAAATTCAAAATGGCGAAACTAATATGGTGGCTGATTTTTTAATAATTGATCCAATTCGGTTAAAACTTGTTGTTTCGGTGTTTTTAGGGTCGCTTTTTATGAATATGATGTCAGATTTATAAAATTCAAAATGTAGGATATTATATGTATAATTTACGGAGACCGTTTATAAAGAGTCATGTGTGGTAATAATTGAACTTAAATCTGATTTCAAAACTTAAAAAAAGTACATCAATCATATTATGTTTTATGTCATAAAGAATTTAGGAAATCTAACAACAAATTCATAATCAGCAAGCCCAAAAACTACCAGGTAACAACCCGTGCAGAAATTTTAGTCGGGTCCTGATCGGGGCCAGATCTGGAAATCTAGCCTGGCCCCGGCCAGGGTGAAACAATGAAACCGACCGGGGCCATAAAATTTTTCCCGATTTGACAAACATTGAAATTTTTGTGAAAAATACGCTAATAAATGTTAAGAATTTAGTTCATATTGCTAGTAAGTAATGTTTAC